TCCCACAGGATCTTAGCTCGGTCATTCTCAACTACCTTAGGAGGTGTCTTCCATTTTGACCTTGGGACATCCAGCCCATATTCATGGCAGATGTTCCTGTACACTATGACAGTTACCTGGTTATGGCGTTCCATGTACGCACTTCCTGCCAGCATCTTACACCCTGCTGTTATGTGCTGTACTGTCTCAGGGGCATCCTTGCACAGTCTGCACCTGGGGTCCTGCCTGGTGTGGTAGACCCCATCCTCTATTGATCTTGTACTGAGTGCCTGTTCTTGTGCCTCCATGATTAGTGCTTCTGTGCCGTCCTTCAGTCCAGCCTTTTCCAGCCACTGGTAGGATTTCTCGATATCAGCCACTTTGTCTGTGGTACATGCCGTGCAGCTGCTTGTCCCTCCATGACGGTTCTTCATCTTCCTTGTTCTCACCTTTGGGTTTCTGCTGCCTGAGGTACTCACTAAGCCCTTCATCTTTGGGGGCCATCTTCCTAATGTACTCCTGGATCTTCGTCGTTTCATCCTGGACAGTGGTCTTGACACTCATGAGCCCTCGGCCTTCCTCGCTACACTTGGTGTACAGTCTCAGGGTGCTGGATTTGGGGTGAAACCCTCCATGCATTGTGAGGAGCTTTCTCGTCTTGATGTCAGTAGCTTCTATCTCCTCCTTTGGCCAGTTTATTATGCCAGCGGGGTATCTGATGTCTGGCAGGGCGTATGTGTTGATGGCTCAGATCTTGTTTTTCTCATTCAGCTGACTTTTCTGACTGTCCTGAACATCTGCAGTGTCGCCTTCTGGTAGTTGAATCCCCTCGGTTCTGATCATCTTCCCTCTTTTTGATACCACGAGACAACACTTGTCCAGTCCGAACGACATTCCAATGTCGTTGCTGTAGATCCTGGTAGTGTGGATCAGTGAGTCGATATCTCGCTCATTTCTGGCATACAGCTTGATGTCATCCATGTAGAGGAGGTGACTGAAGGTTGTTCCACTTCGGAACTGGTATCCGTAGCCAGTCTTTGTGATGATCTGGCTGAGGGGGTTCAGGCCTATGCAGAACAGCAGCGGGGATAGTGCACCGCCTTGGTATGTGCCGCACTTGATGGTGACTTGTGCAATTGGCTTTGAGTTGGCTTCCAGACTTGTTTTCCACAGCCCCTTTGAGTTCTTGATGAAGGCTATTAGTGTCCTGTTGATCTTGTACATTTCTAAGCGTTCCAGTTTTCATGTATGTGGCATTGAGTCGTGGGCTTTCTTGTAGTCAATCCAGGCGGTGCACAGATTGGTCTGCCTGGTCTTGCAGTCTTGAGTGACTTCTCTATCAACCAGTAGCTGGTGCTTGGCTCCCCTGGTATTACTACCCATTCCCTTCTGGGCCCTGTCCATGTATTGAGCCATGTGCCTACTCATCTTAGCCGCTATGATGCCTGACAGGAGCTTCCATGTTGTGCAGAGGCAGGTTATTAGCCGGTAGTTGGATGGGATTGTTCCCTTCTGGGGGTCCTTCATGATCAGGACTGTCCGTCCTTGGGTTAACCATTCTGGGTGGGTCCCATCCATCAGCAGTTGGTTCATTTGTGCTGCCAGCCAGTTATGGAGTGCAGTTAGTTTCTTCAGCCAGTAGGTGTTGATCATGTCAGGGCCTGGTGCTGTCCAGCTCTTCATACCTGCCACTCTTTCTTGGATGTCTGCCGTTGTAATGGTTACTGGTTATTGTTCTGGGAGATTGCTGTGATCTGTTCTAAGATCCACTAGCCTCTTCCAGTACTGTTCAGTCTCAGCCCTGGGTGGATCTGATCTTGTGTTATTACCCTGCTACTAAGAGTACTCTTTGGATCTTGCTTCTGCTTCTCCCTTGTATGTCTTTAGGCGGGTAGCCAGAGCGGTGAGTCTGTGTTATTATATTACGTATACATAACAGGAATGCAGCCCAAAGTTGGCACATATACGGCATAAACACGGTTACAAAAATATGGCAGTGGCACCTCTATTAAGAGGACAAAAAAACAATTACAACACTGTACAGTAAACATTACACATCAGTTGTGCTAACCACTAAACAATATGTGTCCATACACAGATAGATACATTAGTTATACAAATAAAAACAACATTTATTAGGTAACTTCCGTTTCATACCTAACTCACGTATAACGAGCTCTCGTGGCCCACATGGTTTCTTCCACAAGCATCGGCTATACGCAACAATTACATACAATGTGAAATTTAATACATACATCATACACCACTAAACAAACACATTAGCACATTGTGCGATAACAGCAGCAGCCAGTCCACGCCAAATAGCGCAGTTTACTTCCTGTATTTTCCCGGCGCCCCTTGACCTCTCGGCAAGCACGCAGCTGTTTGGCCAGCAACGCTATGCCCTCTGCTATCTAAAATCAACACGTGCAGCATTCTCGCTACAGCAGAAAATTGTGCAAATAGAGGTTTTATAACTTGAGATATATAGAGATGTAGATTTTATATATATATATATATATATATAGATAGATAGTAAGTCACTTTGGATAAAAGCGTCAGCTAAATGATTAATTAAAAACAAAATTGTTTTGTAAAAACGAAATTGTTTTTGCTAAATGTTTTCTTAAGCAAAATTCAAGAGGAAGATTCAGATATTTGACGGCCTACTTTAATCTCACTCATTTTTATTGATGGAATATAAACTGAAACATGATAGCAGACAAGAAGTGACGTTACATTTTTTCTCGATTGGTAAGACATTATTAATGAAACTGGTTGCAAAAAATCAAGATGGCGACAGTTAAAATGCCAAACTCAAGGCAAACTAACGGGTTATCTCACAATGACTACTCCCACTTCTTTTATACAGTCCATTGTCTACAGGACAGCAGTTGACAGTCCCATTGTTTTGACTGTCATAATGTCAATTTTAATCTAGTAGCAGGTTTAACGCAGGGCACAAAGAAATGAACAACCACTCACACTCACATTCACACCAAAGGGCAATTTAGAGTCACCAATTAACTTAGCCTGGACGCCTTTAGACGTTGGGAGGAAGCCGGTCACCTGGAGAGAACCCACACAGACATTGGGAGAACATGCAAACATCATACAGAAAGACCTGGTACACCCAAGGTATGATCCCCGGGCCTTATGTGCAGGTAAGGATTTGTTATTGTAATGCCTTATACAGTTACATGCAACTGGAATAATTTGTTTTATTGATGTGTTTTTTCTTAGAGAATAATGGGGCTCGATGCTGAAGGGGCACAACACAAATTAATTTATGTGGATGAAGCCTGCTTCAGCTTCTGTAAAGTGAGGAGAAGCAGGAGGAACATCAATGCACAGATTCAGGCCATTGCTAGAGTGTCAGGTCAGAGGGGCGCCTTATCTAACTATTGGCCCCTACAATACAGAACGCCTCTTCAAATTTCTCGATGCACTTAATGAATTCCTTTGGGATAATGTGGCCTTCCACCACTCCCTCCTTGTGAATGAATGGTGTTTAATATTTATGTTTACTGTATTTTATTTTTATTTATACCATTCAACATTTGATGCAGCAAAATAAAAGTTTTTGTTTGAGTATTTCTGATTTTGAGTGAAATTCTTTATTTGTTCATTGAAGAAAGAATGTAGTACAAAAACTTTCTTAGGAAATGTCTCTTTTTTTAATATTATTTCAACAGGACATCTCAAAAAAAATGTTTTAAAAAACGCATGATGGAGCAGGGTTTGTTGTCTCTAATAAAATCTTGTTTGGTGAAAATAATATGGTTCATGCTGTGATATGCCTGTTTGCCTTTTGTGGAACATACTGTAACTATGTAAAGTATCAATGAATGGCACAGAAATATAACACAAATTAAGGTTCGACTGCATTTTGTATTTTGTTATCATTATATAATGATTGATTTAAATATTATATTGATTTGACCACAACTTGTGTTGTTAGATGGAAACATTCACTTTTCTTGCATGTTTTTAATGTTTTGTGAGCATTTTGCAAAAACAAAATTATTATTTTGTTCAAAATTATTAGTAAGCTTCATTTTCAGCCTGCATGCTAACTGCTGAAACTGCTGAAAATGTGATGTCAGAGTGGTCAGATGTGTTTAAGCAAACAAAACAAAACTCTAATATTACATCCACATGAAAATGTTATGTTTGCTTATTTTTTCCTAAATTCAAGCAATATGGCCTGCCTGTTTTTATGTTGTATCCACCCCCTCTGTTATTTTCCTGCTGCTTATCACTGCAAGCTAAATCAACATTTTAAAAGGTTATATTGTGGGTGGTAGAAGTTCAGTTAATGCATGCAGGTATTTGGACAAGTAATTTGGTTTATAATAGTAATTAGCTCACTTAAACTCACTTTAAATGTATCAGTTAATTTTATTCTTTAAAGAACACCTCACTAACCAAACCAAATCAAAAGTGAGCATACCCTTAATGTCACTAATAATCCTTTAACTCAAATTGAATTAAACCATAGTTTTCCATTAACAGTTAATGCATTTCATCATAGTTTGTCCTGTAAAGGTTAATTTTATTTAGTTATCTACTTGCTTTTGATGTGAACAAAGGTCATCAAAAAACAAATGTCTATAATAGTTTTAACTAACAAAATGAACGCAGCCTCTGACTGTACTGACTACAGGCAGAAAGCAGCAGCAGGCTGGTGAAGGCAAGGCCACAGAACACATTTTACAAAGGAAACCAACACTGCCATCATGACCACAATTTGAATGACTTCTTTAAATACAATTACACCAAGCAATGTACAGACTTTACAGTAATAACGATGGCTCTATTCAGTTTTTAGCAACAAAGCTGTTGACATCTACAGAGCTGTGGATGTCAACAAATCATACATATTTTTTTATAAATACTTACATAGTTACAAAGTACATGTTTGCTATGTTTTAAGCAAAAAAAGAATGATTACAAAAAAGCTTTTATTCAGTGTTCATGTTTTTTAAATGATTTATTTATTTGCCAAAAAGGGTAAACATTTATTTTTTCCACCATGCCAAGCATTTTTTGGACTGACATATTTCAAATAAAAATTTTCGTATCTCTTTGGACTGCACACCATAAATAATGGGGTTGAGAGTGCCAGGGACGATTACAAACAGAATGGCAGAAAGTTTTCTGTAGTCTGAGTACTGCGGGAAACGATGCAGAATAATGGCAATAAATCCACTGATCAACATGATCAGATACACAACCAGGTGAGTGCTGCAGGTCTTTAAGGCTTTACTGTTCAAAGATTTGTTCTTACTGGTCAGACAGACTACCGTAATCTTTGCATAGGTGAGAACCATGCTGCCTATAGAGGAGGTGAGCAAGGCTGCAGTGTAACTGAGGCCATAGATGTTATTAATGAATATATCTTCACAGGAGAGCTTAAACAGTGAGGCATTGTCACAGTAGGGATTCATGATCAGAGTCCTGCATCGGTTCAGCCGTATGGTCAGACCGAGAAGAATCCAAACAAAAAAAAAGGCCACTCCCCAGGCAGAAACTGTCAGCTTGATCACCATCTTGTTGGTCATTATGGCAGCATAGTGCAGGGGATTGCAGATGGCCACATATCTGTCAAAGGCCATAATCATGAGAACAGTGTGGGAAGTGCTACTGAAAAACTGTGTGGTGAAAGCTTGGACCACACACTCATAATAACTGATGAGACGCTCAGAGGGAGGCCTCAAGATATCGATAAGCATACGGGGCAAAATATGAGTACTTCCAATAATGTCACTGACTGACAGGTTGCATAACAGCAGATACATGGGCTGGTGAAGGTTCTTGTCAATCCAAATTATAACCAAAAGGCCTAAATTCAGAACCATTGAAAGAATGTAGGAAATAAAGAACAGGCAAAAGACAGGGTACATTGAATCCTTCGTGACACTGAACCCCTCCAGCTGGAGTATGAAGCTGTTGTAGCTGTAGTTTTCCATCAACCTGAAATGACAACAATGACAGTATTCTGTAAATGATATTGATAACTCATGAATCTAAAGTACAATCATTGTGAGGAAACAATAGAGCGTTAATACCTACTTTGAGTCTTCTTTGCGTTTCAGTCTCTTGACTTGTCTGCCTTGTGTCTTCCTGCTCATTGCTGGTAGTATCCACCAGCTCTAATGAACATCTCCTCTGTTGCAGTGTTTTACAGACTTGATTTTATCTTTGGGGAGTCAATTATCATTGCGTCAGACAATGTGTCATGCAACATAAGAGATTAGTTGCTGGCCGTGGCAACTGTAAACAAGCTACAATTTCCAATTTTTTTGGTCTGAGACAGTGGCAGTGGCAGGATTCTGGCCTGGGCTAGGTGGCCTTGCCTCCTGGGTGTGGTTGGGGCCATGGGTCTGTGCCCCATTGGCCGGAGGGTCCGCTCTCTCCCTGGGTGGGAATCCCGCTAATCCTGGCCTGTTCCCTTATGTGGCGGTCTAATGCCAGCCCCAATGGCCGGGAGGTACTCTACCAGGGCTGGCCAGGATTTGGTGGTCACTGGCTCTGGGGTGTTGTCGGTGCTCGGGGGGCTTTTGCCACAAGCCCTGGGCTTGATGGCCCTGTGTCATCCTGCCTGGGGGGCAGGCGCCCGGGGTAGTTCTGTGACTATCATCCTTTGAGGGCCACACTAAATGACTATACAGTATTTATCACAGGACGCTCTCATGCGGCTAGGACTGCTTCTCTGCGGTAAGATGATGCTACTCTGAGCTGGTTAAACAGAACTGAGTCTTTGCAAGAGTCCGTTTTGAAAAGAACTGCTCACAGCAGAAGTTAATCCCAAACAGAGATGCAAACTTCAGTACATGTCTCCTCAGAATGGTAAAATCCTCAGGATGTACATACAGTTTATAGAACTCAAGCAGAGAGAGATTGTTGTACCGAACTTTGAGCTTGTCGTTGCTTTATAGATGAATGATTTCTTGTTGTAAGTCAGTGGCACATCAGCTGGTTCCATATTACACAACCCAGCAAATAGGGAGTTTTGCACACTCACTAATGTTTGGGATAAATGGCATCAATATAAATATAAAATAATATAATGATGATTATTGTTAGTATTATTTAATAATAAATAATAGAAGTTGTGTGTCATACTGGGGTGTATCCTAAGCTACTGTTTTGCTCTAGTAGTCTTACTGAGAAATTATCTGGGCCAAGTGTATTTGCAAAGTTGGACAGTGGTGTCTCAGTCTAATCAGAATTTAGGTAATGAGTTAATATCAGGGTGTCTAACTGATCTCAGGCTGTTGTTGCTAACAAATTCAAGTCTGCCTATGTAACTGCAAGAAAAGTAAACTATGCTAAGCTAGTATCTATCTTACTGTCAGTACAGCAGTGGCGCTCTTTGGATTGTGATCTAATTCCCTTACATAGTCGTCAATGTGGTGTTCACAGTTGTTTGGATCAAAATGCTCAAGGTCTTAAGCCATAAACTCAAGCACTTCAAGGAGGAGCACTTCAACTGCTCCTCATGTCCTGTTGGTGGATCGACCGGCTTCAGCCCCGTTGGTGGTCCGGCCGACCCCTGCTCCTAGCACCAAGGCCATCGCCCAGCCCGCGGCCCAGACCACGCCATCTCCTTGTTCCCTGTCCACGGTCCCCAACCCTCCAACCCCGTCTCTGGTTCCCCCTGCTCCTGCTTCGGCACCGGCCCTCAGCCCAGCAGCTCTGTCACTGATTTCCCCTACTGCTGTCTCGCTGCCAGCCTTCAGCCCTAATCCCCGGCCTCTGGAGAGGTCTCGCCCTCATCCCAGTCGCCCCTTAGCCCGACCTCCGGAGAGGTTACTTCTTCTCTGCCGTCCTCATGGAAGGCCTCCTGGGGCCTCCAGTCAGATGGCTTAGAGGCCACGGAAGTTGTTTCAGCAACTTTAAACTAAATAAACATTTTGACAATGGTTGGTAATTAGAGGTAATATTGCTTTGACATAGACAAAATATTTCCTTTTCCCTTCCACAGATGCTGTGATAAAGCAGTTTCCAAATCCCATAGTGTCTGCAGTCGCAGAAAATGCAACAAATCCTACTTAAAGATAACCAACTTTCCACTGAAGGATAAGGATTGACATTTTTCAGTTTCAGCTTGGTTCCACCATTTGGTGGTTGTGGGTTCAAGCCCAACCTTTCTGTGTCGAGTTTGCATGTTGTCTGCGTGGGTTCTCTCTGGGTGCTCCGGCTTCCTCCCACTGTCCAAAGACATGCGGACTAGGTTAATTGGTGACCCTAAATTGTCCTTAGGTGTGAGTGGTTGTTCGTCTATGTGTGGCCCTGGGATGGACTGGCAAACTGTCCAGGGTGTACCCCGCCAGCCCCCCTGTGACCCTGTACGCAGGATAAGCGGTTGACGATGGATGGCACAAAATGGATAATAATTTCCAGCTAAATAACTAAGTGTGTCAGACACTTAGAGGGAGTTGTAGTTTGATGGCCACAGGCAGGAATGACTTCTTGTGGGACTTTGTGATGCATTTTGTGGGGAGTCCTGTGTTTAAGCATCACGATGTGGAGTGGGTTGGAGACATTGTCCAACATGACATGTAGCTTGGCCAGCATCCTCCTCTCTGACACCACCGAAACAGAATCCAGCTCCACCCCCACAACCTCACTGGCTCAGTTTGTTGAGTCTTTTAGCGTCCGTTACCAACATCAACCTTCTTCCCCAGCATGCAACAGCAAACAGGATAGCACTGGCCACCACAGACTCATAAATAGTAGTAAAAGTAGAGTCTGCTCTGTCCCTTCCTGCAGACAGCCTTAGTGTTACACTTTCAGTCCACTCTTTCGTCAAGGTGAACATCCAGACATCTCTTCTCTCCAGATGTGAATGGTGTTCAAATTACTCCTAAAGTCCACAACTATCTCCTTCATCTTGGCCACATTTAAGATGAAGTGGTTATTCCCTCACCACGACACAAACAATCGACCAGCTCCCTGTACTCAGTCTCCTCTCTTTACACCTGATGTCCAGAAGTCTGTTGAATCCCTGCTTCACTAATCTCTGGATGTCTCAAATCCAGAGTGTTTGTGTCCAGTAGCTTAATCAAACCAGTAAAGTTTTGGTTTCTCTGTGTCTGGGTTTCAGTCCTGTCTTTGCCCTGTGTCCAGTATTTGTTATGTAGTCTGTTGTGTTTTGGGTTTCACTCTGTCTCTCTTCTTGGAGTCTTAGTTCCCAGTTCCCAGTTTTGCTTAGCTTCAGTCTGTGTTCCTTGTTGGTGTTAGTTTAGTGGTGATATGTCTGATGGTGTCTGGATTAGTTTGTTATTCTTGTTATTCTGATCTGTTACATCTTGTGTTATGGCCTTTGTTTAGTGTTCAGTAACTTATGTTGTGTCTGTTACCCCAGTAATCCCTCTGCATGTCAGTATCTCTGTTCTCCCCTTTGCCATCTCTGTCTGCCTGCCTCTCTCTGTTTTCCCTGCTGTCTCTCTGCCTGCCTCATTAGCCTCATGTCCCTCACCTGTGTTGTTCCTGCCCTGCTCGTCTGTCTGTGTGTCTGTCTGCCTGCCTGCCTACCGTTTCTGTTTAGTCCTTGTTCGGTCATTCCACTGTTCTGCATTGTGTTTCTTTGGATTTCAGTTTGGATTACCTTGTCTTTTTTGGACTCTGTTTATCTGCCACTCCGCCTGTAAGTGTGCTCGTCTTATGTTAAATAAACCTTTTTGTACTGTACCTACTCTGCTCAGTGTCCTGCGTTTGGGTCCACCAACCTGCTCATCACACCACACCCTGACAGTTGCAGCACCTTTTGAATTTCTCTCATAATCTCGAAATCAATATCAGTTCGGCTCTACATATTGCATGATGTTTACTGAATCTATAATACATAAAAAATGACACCAATTTTAATGAAATTACAGTAAAAAAACTTTTCCACAATATTCAATCTTTTTAGATGCACCTGTACTGGACAACGACATCACAACACCTGACCATTAATTGAACAACTTATCCAGACATATCCATAACTTGAAGTTGAAATTAGCATTTGGTGCATATGCACTTTCAGAGCACTGTTTTTTGTGTGTGTGTGTGTGTAGGGGGGGGGGGGGGGGGTTACAGAAACTACCATGTGGGTTTCCAGGTAGGAAACTATATGACTTAAAGTGAGACATCAACACGTTTTACATGAAATTTCAAGCAAAGTGTCTCATTCCCTCCTCACATTACACAGTTGATTGGAGAAGATGGACTCACATGAGTTTCTGTAGTAAAGCACAACTGTGAGATGGCTAAACAAAACCAATATGTATATCTCCTTTAGAGAAAAAATCATATGAGCTAACTTGCATTAGAACACAAGACCAAGGAATACAGTAGGCTCCTCTTGGTTCACATTTAATGTTATTTGTCTTCATAAATGTACAGAAACAGCTTGCAAATTGTTTTATTATGACGGCAAAATTGTCTTAGACTCAAACAACTTAGACAAAAATGTTCGTATCTCTTTGGACTGCATGCCATAAATAATGGGGTTGAGGATGCCTGGGACAGTAAAAAACAGAATGGCAGAGAGTTTTCTGTAGTCCGAGTACTGGGGGAAACGATGCAAAATAATGACAACAAATCCACTGATCAGCATGATCAGATACACAACCAGGTGAGTGCTGCAGGTCTTCAAGGCTTTACTGTTCAAAGACTTGTTCTTACTGGTCAGACAGACTACTGTAATCTTGGTGTAGGTGAGAACAATGCTGCCTATTGAACCTGTGAACAGGACCACAGTGAAAGTGAGGCCATAGATGTTATTAATAGAAACATCTTCACAGGAGAGTTTAAACAGTGCAGCATTGTCACAGTAAGAGCTTTTGATCAGAGTCCTGCATCGGTTCAGACGTATGGTCAGACCGAGAAGAATCCCGACCAGAACAAAGGCCACTCCCCAGGCAGAAACTGTCAGCTTGATCAACATCTTGTTGGTCATTATGGCAGCATAGCGCAGGGGATAGCAGATGGCCACATATCTGTCAAAGGCCATAATCATGAGCGCAGTGTGAACAGCGGTACTAGACATGTGTGTTATGAAAGCTTGGACCACACATTCATAATAACTGATGACGCGTTCAGAGGGAGGCCTCAACAAGTCTACAAGCAAACGGGGCACAACGATAGTGTTTCCAAGTAGATCGTTGACTGACAGGTTCCCATAAAGGAGATACATGGGCTGGTGAAGGCTTTTTTCCATGACAACCACAACTACAATGCCCACATTTGCAACAATTATAAACAAGTAGGATAAAAAGATTAAAATATACACAGGGTAAATGGACTCCTTTGAGACATTTAACCCCTCCAGGTGGAGTGTGAAGCTGTTGTAAGTGTAGTTTTCCATCAACCTGAAAGAACAAAATGCTGTAAATGTCACAAGTAATACCGTGGCAATCTAGGTATCAGAGATCATGTTAAATCACAGTACTAATGTCCAACTAACCACAGCAGAAACCTGCAGTTTTCCCTTAATGTGCACTGTGTATGTGTTAGATGATAGTATGCTAAACAGCCGTATGATAGATTTTAATGTCTAAGTTCAGACAGTTCAAGCAGAAACAATGAGCTAAATAAGTGATGTTCTATAAGTCTACATATTTTGACTTTTTTAGAACTTGAAATGACAAAAATGATTCTGTTATTGATAATTGATAACTCATGAAAAAATAAAAGTACATCGGTTGTGAGGAAACAGTTGATCAGTAATACCTACTTTGATTGTTTCTTGTTTCAGTCTCTTGGCTTCTCTGTCTTGTGTCTTCCTGCTCATTGCTGGTAGTATCCACCAGCTCTATTGAACATCTCCTCTGTTGCAGTGTTTTACAGACTTGATTTTATCTTTGGGGAGTCAATTATCATTGCGTCAGACAATGTGTCATGCAACATAAAAGATTAGTTGCTGGCCGAGGCAACTGTAAACAAGCTACAATTTCCAACTTTTAGGTCTGAGACAGTGGCAGTGGCAGGCTTCTGGCCTGGGCTAGGTGGCCTTGCCTCCTGGGTGTGGTTGGGGCCATGGGTCTGTGCCCCATTGGCCGGAGGGTCCGCTCTCTCCCTGGGTGGGAATCCCGCTAGTCCTGGCCTGTTCCCTTATGTGGCGGTCTAATGCCAGCCCCAATGGCCGGGAGGTACTCTACCAGGGCTGGGCAGGGTGTTGTCGGTTCTCGGGGAGCTTTTGCCACAAGCCCTGGGCTTGATGGCCCTGTGTCATCCTGCCTGGGGGGCAGGCACCCGGGGTAGTTCTGTGACTATCATCCTTTGAGGGCCACACTAAATGACAGTATTTATCACAGGACGCTCTCATGCGGCTAGGACTGTTTCTCTGCGGCAAGATGATGCTACTCTGAGCTGGTTAAACAGAACTGAGTCTTTGCAAGAGTCCGTTTTGAAAAGAACTGCTCACAGCAGAAGTTAATCCCAAACAGAGATGCAAACTTCAGTACATGTCTCCTCAGAATGGTAAAATCCTCAGGATATACATATAGTTTATAGAACTCAAGCAGAGAGAGATTGTTGTACCGAACTTTGAGCTTGTCGTTGCTTTATAGATGAATGATTTCTTGTTGTAAGTCAGTGGCTGGTTCCATATTACACAACCCAGCAAATAGGGAGTTTTGCACACTCACTGATGTTGGGAATAAATGGCATCAATATAAATATAAAATAATATAATGATGATTATTGTTAGTATTATTTAATAATAAATAATAGAAGTTGTGTTTCATACTGGGGTGTATCCTAAGCTACTGTTTTGCTCTAGTAGTCTTACTGAGAAATTATCTGGGCCAAGTGTATTTGCAAAGTTGGACAGTGGTGTCTCAGTCTAATCAGAATTTAGGTAATGAGTTAATATCAGGGTGTCTAACTGAGCTCAGGCTGTTGTTGCTAACAAATTCAAGTCTGCCTATGTAACTGCAAGAAAAGTAAACTATGCTAAGCTAGTATCTATCTTACTGTCAGTACAGCAGTGGCGCTCTTTGGATTGTGATCTAATTCCCTTACATAGTCGTCAATGTGGTGTTCACAGTTGTTTGGATCAAAATGCTCAAGGTCTTAAGCCATAAACTCAAGCACTTCAAGGCAGGTTCAGACTGCAGGTCAAAGTGGCCCAAATCGGATTTTTTTGCTCATATGTGTCTCAGATTTTGTTTTGACAGTGTGAACAGCCCAGGTCACAACGAATCTGGTCTTTTCCACTTTGGATTTGGGCCACTTTCATTTGTGGCCCAAAATCTGATACAAATCAACGTCCCTCTAGAGCAGCTGTTCCCCCACCACACAGAGCGACGATGAATGAAAAAGCTCCATAAAAGCCATTATTAAACTTGTGGCCTTTATCTTGCTATCATCTGCTCATAAATTCCCTTTCTTACACCAGAAATCCACCGGGTCACAAGCTGTGTTGCTGCTACTAAATGCAATATAGAGAGAGAAAGATAGAGAGAGAGGGAGTTGTGAGGCGGATGTGCCAGAAACGGTAATGAATGTTGTGGAAAGGACAGAAAGTTGTGAACATTTGTCATAATTTTGGAGAGATGTAACCCCGGGAGTAAACCGCAAGAGGGCAATGAAATACAGGAGTTTCTCATGAAATTTGGGAGGGTCTAACCGGGGCTAACTGGAACATTAACCTCTGTAGCTTGTTTACTTCTGTACAACAGCGTACTGTGTGACGTTGTTTTATTCTTCTGCGAATGCTTGTTACTTTCAGGCCATGGACAGTTCACACTGGAGTCTGATATGAACCACATTTAAACAATAATGTGAACTGTCAAACAAACAAAATCGGATCTGGGAAAAAAATCGGAATTGAGCGTTAAGAATGAACGTAGCCTCTGTGAGGTCCTGTCCAATGACGGCGAGACTAAGCTGGCATTACTCTCTGGGTGAGAGGCAGCGGCTGAACAGCTGTCATCACTATTCTTATGGTAGTGCAGGGTGGAGTATGAATCAGGGCCCATCAGTAGAGGGCTCCCCCTGTGCTATTAGAACTAGGATTAGTATATCGTAACAGCGTTCTATCTCACACAGGCCCCCCCCTCTACTGGACAGTATGGGTACAGTGGGTTGAGCCTTAAGACTCTACTCCCAAACGCAATAAGGCAACAATCCAGCCCGACTGATGCAACTGGCCTCAGATTAACTGCCACAGGCCTCCACTACTCATAACCCAGCCCACCTAGATAAGCAGCACTTTAATCTGAGTGGCACCGCGGCCTAACTCTAACAGGGATCTGACACACACCAGACACCATAAAAACGTGCGGGGTGTAGACAATGATGTCGCCATACAGATATTCTTGACACTTACCCCATTAAACAAGGCCATTGCCACCACCATGCCGTGCGTGGGGTGTGCACAGACCACCGTGGGCGGGTCCTTTCCCACCTGCGTATAGGCTTGGGAGATGCGCTCACAAAGCCATCTAACCAGGCATTTCTTGGACAGAGCTTTACCACTGCAACATCACCATAATGTACAACCAGCTGATCTGTGTGCCGGACGGGGACAGTGCGTTCCATGTAACACGGCAACGCATGCACCAGGCACAGGAGATGCAATTTTACCTTTCTGACCTTTCTGGGGTGGAGGGCAGAAAGAATCCAGCTATAATGTTCTCATCCTGAACAATCTCCGAATGTTCTTAGGAACAAGGATGGGGTTCGGTTTCAGAGTAGCACCAGCGTGGTCACCACAAAGCAGCAAACGGCTGAGCTGGAAGGACAGGGCGTACAGCAGCAGTCGGCAGATAAGTCTGGCATGGGGCCAAATTTTTTTCAAGCCATTACTTGGCTCAAATTATTTTAAATCTTTGTATACTTGTGTACATGTTTAGCGCAGTCGGTTTTGTGCGGGACTCCCGTCTGAAAGGTTGTAAGATCATTTCCAAATAACTGCAGGTATTTATTTCTCCCTTGTTAAACAAATTGACACTTTTGCACATAAAGCATATGCTGCAGTTTGTGTTCCTCCCAGCATTTGATCCGCATTCATAAACCTATAGACGCTTATTTTCATTTCCCTGAGGAAATTCAGGGGAATCCAATCACACGTTTACTGACGGCTTTTTCAGAGGTGTGTCAAGCAAGCCAGAGTCTCTTTTGAATGTCGTTCAGAACTCTTCAAAGTAAAAGCTCTCAATAAACTGTCATAAAGCATTGCTGCACAAAAAGTTCTCACGCTTTTATTTTGGAGGCATAATCCCTTAAGAGGAAGTGATTGTGTGAGTAACTGCCGTCATGACTGAGATCTGTTTCAGCACCAGCTGCTCTCAATTAATGTTTTTTTCAAAGCAATCTGACGGCGGGCCAGATATTATTGCTGACCACTGGCGTACTGGCCTGTCCCTCTCTGGAGCCAAACCATGAGAGCATGGCACTGAATCTATAGCCCGCCTCCTGTGTCAGAGCCCCCCAGGCTTGAGGAACAGCACAAGCTCGTTTGGTCAGCAACATCTGCATCATCTCCGCTGCTGGCCTTCTCCATGTCTTCTGTTGCCGCCCAGCCCGGTGCTCTTTCTCCCAAGCTAACCAGTGAGTTTAGAAAGATTACCACCACCATTTTGTCGCTCTCCACGTTGGCAGCGGATGCCCAGGCACACATCATGGAATAGAGCGCCACCTCAAAATCCATGGCGCTACCAGGTCCTGGCTGGGACCCCCACTCCAGTGCACTTGGTGCAACCTGTCCATTGGGCCTCCCCGCGGGGGACATGTGTTTTCTTCTCGGAACAGCTGGACACAACAGCTCTTTTCAGAGCCAACCAAATGTCAATAAAGAATATGTTTCTATCAATCAGTCTAGAGCACTGCTGCACGTGGGCAAAATCTGTTTATGAGAGTAATAAAGAAAAGTTACACTCTCCAATTTGCTCCAAGAGGAGCTCTGTGCTCCACATGATGCTTGATGACGCATTGATGCATGATGCTTACGGAACATCTGTCTTGTCTGCGCTTTGCAATAAACTGGCAGAAGTAGGGCTGTTGCGATAACTGCAAATTTAAATAACACGCTATTGGCCAAGCACCACCATAACCACAATGTTTATACTTCACACTTCAGTGCATGTTAGTGCTTCAAAAATTCCACAAGTGTAACGAGCTCTGTAACGGTTCACTGATCGCCATGGGCTGTTCCTGACCCAACTTAAATCTTGATGCTGGAAGTGTTGCTGTTTCTTGTGGTGTTTCACTGTTTATTATGTTGGTTAGCTATTTTGACATTAGTATATTGCGCAGCTAATGTGGCTAGCAGGCTCAGCGATGTCGGACTAACGCTGTGATACTGAGGGACAGTCAAGAGAAACTGTGAACGGTAAGCCTCATTTGAAGGTCACAAAGTAACAA